CTGAGGGCAATCAGTTGCCAGACTGCTGTCTCATCCCACCACAGGGGTGGGCCTGCTCCCTGACTCTGGGGACAATGGACAGGCTCCTGTAGGCGGAGTTTTCACCCTACTGATAATGGTTCCTATGGAGACCCTCCCTTAGACCACCCCCTCATTGCTGTGTAACCTATAGTGCAGCCCCTCCCTGTGACATATGTCTCTACCTGTAATTAGTGGGCTGGCGTACCCCCAAAAGGTATATAGGCATGGGACAGCAAGAGAGAGCTCTCTGACCTCTCTGACTCTCTGATCTCTCTGACCCCTCTCTCTTCCCCCTCTCCCCTGTTCCCTTGCCCTCCTTCCCTTCCCTCTCTGTCCACGTGGACCACCAAGCTGGGCTGAGGTGAGCAATGCTACCATGTAATGTGTCTGACTGTATTATTCTAATATCTCTCATGCTCTTGATGACTTCAATATAATACTTCTATATCTCAACCGTACAATTGTGCATTACTGAGCCCGATAGTAGCAGTAGTAGCGGTGGGGGCGGGCACCCAACTCCCCGCACCACTTTTAATTTAATACTACAGTGGGGCTTGCTATGTTAGTTGGTATTGATGATTTCATAGGCCTTATATGGCCTGTGGGCCGGATGCTCCCCACCCCTGAGTAAGGGGGCTGAGGACTGTGAAATGGGCAGGAAAGGAAAGCCAGTGGAGGGGTGCAGCATCAGGTTGTCAGTAGCTGTGGGAAATTGGGGGAGTGTGTTTCAAAGTGTCTGCTTACTGTTTGGAAGTAGGGAACATTAACTATAGGTTGTTGTGCTAGTCTGGGTAGACTAGAGAGACAAATCCAGGGAGGCTCGTGAATGAGAAAGAGGTTTATATACAAGAGCAATTGAATATTGAGAAAATGTCCCAGCCCAGTCCAGATCAAGTCCATAAGTCCAATATTAGCCCATATGTCTGATACCAATCCATAAAGTCTTCTTCAGTCTCATGAAATATATGCAATGATGCTGAATGCAGAAGGATCACAGGCCAGTGGGTTGGAAGTCTTGTGGCTCCAGTGGCATTGTAAGCATCTCAGAACTGGCAGTGGTCTCTTTGTGGCTTCTCTGGTGCTAGAGGTCTGGTTGCATCAAGGTAGGTCCATGTGGCTTCTCCAGCTCCCAGGACATAGCACCATGTGTCTTGTCAGCTGCTGTGTCTCCCAGGGTGTGACAAAAGAGAGCAAAGTGTCTTCCCCCTCCAAGGAGGAAAATACAGGAGTTCCCAGAATTCTCAGGGGAAGGCCATGCCCACACAGAGGCCTCATTGGCTGTCACCTGATTGACAGACTCGAGTCCACCCCTTCACTCTTAATCCTCTCAAGTCCCAAATTGACACCAGATTATGTGACGACCACAGTTGTTATTGGTTAAGGTTTGCCCCATGGGATGTCAACCCTCCCATGCTTCTAGACCGCACACGGATTTCTGTATGTGTCCCATGACTCACAGCCAGAGGGCCTAACGAAGAGGATCAGTCTAAGCCAGGGGTCTAAGCAGGGCAGCTGAGCTTACGAGACCTCAGGGAAGCTGGCTACCACATCAGTAGCCGGAACCAACAGTTGTCCAAGGATCTGCAGCTGTGAGCATAGTTGTCCAATTTACTCTTCCTCCTGACATATGACTAGGGAGGATACAACCTCACTGCATGCTGACAGGAGCAGGAGGAAGACAGGACCCTGGAAGCTTCATCTATAGATTCAAATCCTGTCTCTGCTGGTCCTAACCAAGTGGACCTGGAGCCAGCAATGCAGAGCATGCCGGATCAGTCACCGTTTTTTTTGGCACCTACATCGTTAGAGTCAGACCCTAATTCCATGAGCATTTACCCAGTGATGCGGGAAAGGCAGAGGGCGCTCTTGTGGGGTAATGGTTCGAAGCCACCAGTCACTCCGCAGGAGAAAGAGGAGGCTTTTTGCTCCTGTGAAGCATTAGTCTCAGAAAGCCACAGGGGCAGGTTGACTGTCTGATTGGGTCACTAGGGGTTGGCATCGACTGGGTGGCAGTGGAGTTAGGTTTGGTTTGGGGGGACACAGAAAGACAAGGTTGGAAAATTTGGCAGAGACCAGGTCATGCTTCACCTTAAAAGTTCTTAAATGTGGCCAACCACAAAGGG